AACTCCGAACTGGGACATTTCACATAGCCCCTTAGGGACCCTCCATCAGAGTCTGGCAGTGTACTGTGGAGCTAGGGGAAGGGTAACAGTTCTCTCCCCTCCCAAGTTCTGGTGCCACCCCAAGCAGAGGGTTGCCTTGATCTATTTTTTTAAAATATATTTTTATTGATTTCAGAGAGGAAGGGAGAGAGATAGAAACATCATTGATGAGAATCACGGATCGGCCACCTCCTGCACGCCCCCTAATGGGGATTGAGCCTGCGACCCAGGCATGTGCCCTTGACCGGAATTGAACCCGGGACCCTTCAGTCCGCAGGCTGACGCTCTGTCCACTGAACCAAACTGGCCAAGGAGCCTTGATCTATTTCTCCAAGCCCTGCTGGCACTGTACTACTGGTGCGGCCTTGTAGGGGAGAGGAAGCACAACTCTGAACTGGGACATTGGTGTGACCACTAGGAGCCTCCTGTTGGGGTCTCTGGTGGTGCACTAGGGGAAGGCGAGGAGCTCACTTCCCTCTTAAGAGCTGAGGGCCAGCGCCACACCCATCAGAGGGCTGCTTTGATCTGTTCCTCCAAGTCCTGCTGGGGGTAATGGAGCAGGGAGCATAGCTTGGAACTGCAGCTTTGGAATGTGGCTCTAGGGGTCTCGGAAGGCGTAGCTGTGGAGCTAGGGAGAGGAGTTGTACAGCTTTCTCTCCTCACAGGGGCCAGCACCACCACTGATGGAAGACTGCCATGGTCAGTTTTCATAAGCCCTGCTGGCCCCATGCTGCTAGGCTCAGTTTTGAGGGGGGAGGAGGCTTTGCTCAGAGCCAGGACATTCAGAGTCCATCTACCTCACAGGTTCCAGTCCAGGGCTTGAGCAGGAGTGGCTACAGAGCTAAAAGGAGGAATGCAGCTCAACCCTTCCTGTGGTACAGTTGGTGGCACTCGCAAAAGAAGGCTTTCTTGATCTGTTTGCCTAAGTCCCTGTGACCCCATCCTGTCCTGCTGAGCTTGTTCCTTCAGTGAGGAAAGCTGGCTACACCCGACCTGAACCTGTGGTGCACTCCTGGGAGAGCTAGAGTTGGAGACTGGCAGAGTCTGAATGGATGGCTCTGGAGTAGGGGCACATTTTCCCCATTTGAGTGTCAAACTATGCTGCCCCAAACTAGCGGACCCACTAGCCCTGTCTGCCCAAACAGGTTGCCCCAATTTACTGAGCTTGCACCTGTGAAAGGGTCAGTGTGGTGTGGCCAGATTGGGCCTTTCCTGCATAAGACTAGGAGTCCAAGCAACATAGAGGGCGAGCTGAGTAGCCGACATGTGGATGTTGAGCTCACAGTGCATGGTCTTTTATTGATCTGCCACTATATCAGAGCTCCAGGAAGCTGACCTGTCTACACAGATTGACCCCTCCCATGCAAAACAGGTCCAGTAGATGAAGACACAAAGAGTGGACAGCATGTAAGTTTGCATGCTGTGGGTGTGGTTGAGAGAGCCAGCCTGAGGGTTGATCCCACCCACAAATAGGTCAACAGCATTTAAGACCCAGTTACAACAGGGAGGCCCAAATAACCCACAAAAGAGAGATTCCTAGAGCACCCAGCTTAAGAGATCAAGGAGATTGCACCACTGGGTCCCACAGGACACCTACTACAGAAGGCACCTAAGCAAGACTGTGAGTGATAGCAGTTTTATCTACTACATAGAAACAAAAAGAGACAGCCAATATTGGGAGACAAACGAACAGGCCCCAAATAATTAAAAACACAGGAGGAATCTCTATAAAAAGAGCTAAATGAAAAGGAGGCAAGCAATTCATCAGAAACAGAGCTCAAAGTAATGGCTGTAAAGATGCTCAACAGCATGGAAAAAACCCCACTAACACATAGAAAACATGGAAAATAGGTGACAATAGAGACTACCATAGTTGAAATTTTAAAAAATACACTGTGAGGAATAAACAGGCCTTATGAAGCAGAGGATCGAATCAGTGATTTGGAAAATAAGGTAGAAAAAAATCACCTAGTCTGAGCAGGAAAAAAAAAAAAACAACAACAAGGATATCTAACCTTACAACTAAATAATTAGAATGAGCCCAGCCAGTGTGGCTCAGTAGTTGAGTGTTGACCTATTAACCAGGAGATCACGGTTCTATTCCTGGTCAGGGCATTGAGCCCCAGTTGTGGGCTCAATCCCCACTAGGGGGAGTGCAGGAGGCAGCCAATCAATGGTTCTCATCTTTGATATTTCTATCTCCCTCTCCCTTCTCTGAAATCGGTAAAAATATATTTTTAAAAATTAAAAAATAATTAGAAAAGCTCAGAGGAAGTAGAAGAAAGGAAATAGTAAAAATCAGAGTGGAAATAAATGACACAGAGACTAAAATAACAATACAAAATATCAATGAAACCAAGAGCTGGGTTTTCTAAAAGATAAACAAGATTGATGAACCTTTAGCCAGACTTACCAAGAAACAAAGAGAGAGGACCCCAACAAATAAAATCAGAAATGTAAGAGGTGAAGAAAAAATTGACATCGTCGAAATACAAAGGATTGTAAGAAAATATGATGAACATCTATATGAACAACATGGGTGAACGGAAAATTCCTAAAAATATACAATCTTCCAAAACTCAAACAGGAGGAATCAGAAAACCTGAATAGGCTGATAATAACTAATGAAATCGAAGCAGGAATAATAATAATAAAAACCCTCCCAGCAAACAGAAGTCCTAAACTGGATGGATTTACATGCTAGGTTTACCAAACATTCAAAGAAGACTAACACTTCTCAAACTATTCCAAAAATTATCCTAATTCCAAAACCAGATAAAGGCACTACAAAGGAAAAAACTACAGGCCAATATTCTTGGTGAATATAGATACAGAATTAAAATGGCAATAAATAAGTACCTACCAATAATAACCTTAAATATAAATGGATTAAATGCTCCAATCAAAAGACATAGGGTATCTGAATGGATACAAACACATGACCCAATTATATGCTGTCTACAAGACATCCACCTTAGGACAAAAGACTCACACAGGATGAGTGTGAAGTGATGGACAATTTTTTTTTTCCAGACAAATAGAAATGGAAAAAAAAAAGCTGGTGTGGCAATACTCATATCTGACAAAATGACACAGCACTAATAAAGAACACATTGGAAGGAATACAAAGCAAATTAGGGGAAGCTGAGGATTGGATTAGTGAATTAGAAGTCAGGGTAGAAAAAAAATGAAGGCCATCACAAGAGACAGTAAAGGCCACTTCATAATACTAAAGGGGTCGATACAACAAAAGGATATGACCCTGGTAAACATATGCACCCAATATAGGAGCACCTAAATATATTTTTTAAAATTTCTAAAGGACTTTAAGGGAGAGATTGACAGCAATACAGTCATAGTAGGGGACTTTAACACCCTGCTGACTTCATTGGATAGATCTTCCAGACAAAAAATCAGTAAGGAAATAGTGACTCTAAATGACAAACTGGATGAGATGGATTTAATTGCTGTTTAGAGAACATTTCACCCCAAAGCTGCAGAATATACATTCTTCTCAAGTGGACATGGGTTAGGACACAAACCAAGTCTCTACAAGTTCAAGAAGATTGAAATCATATCAAGTTTCTTTTCAGACCACAATGGAATGAAATTAGAAGTCAACTACAGTAAAAACACTCAAAAACATTCAAACACATGGAGGTTAAATAGCATGCTATTAAACAATGAGTTACCAATGAGATCAAGAAACAAATAAAAAACTTCCTGGAAACAAGTGAAAATGAACACATAACAACCCAAAGTTTCTGGGACACAGCAAGAGCAGTCTTGAGAGGGAAGTTCATAGCATTACAGGCTTACCTCAAAAACTAAGGAAACTTAGCAATAGACTATTTAACCCTACAACTTAAAGAATTAGAAAGAGAACAACAAGAAAAGCCCAGAGTAAGTAGAAGGAAGGAAACAATAAAAATTAGAGCAGAAATAAATTACATAAAGGCTAAAAAAACAATATAAAAGTCAATGAAACCAAAACCTGGTTCTTTGAAAAGATAAACAAGATTAATGAACTTTTAGCCAGACTCAGCAAGAAACAGAGAGGACACAAATAAAATCAGAAACGAAAGTGGTAAAGTAACAACTGACACCACAGAAATGCAAAGGATTGTAAGAAAATACTATGAACAACTATATGCCAACGAGCTGGACAATGTAGAGGAAATGGACAGATTCCTAGAAAAATACAATCTCCCAAAACTAAATCAGGAAGAAACAGAAAACCTGAATAGGCCAATAACAACTGAGTAAATAGAACCAGTAATAATAATAAAAAAAAAACTCCCAGTAGACAAAAGCCCTGGTCTGGATGGCTTCACAGGGGAGTTTTACCCAACAGTCAAAGAACTAACACATATACCCCTCAAACTATTTAAAAAAGTTCAAGAGGAAGGAACACTTCCCAAGCTCTTTTTATGTGGCCAGCATTATCCTAATTCCAAAACCAAATAAAGACACTACAAATAAAAGTACAGGACACTTATGCTGCTGAACATGGATGCTAAAATCATCAACAAAATATTATCAAATCGGATTCAGCAATATATTAACAAGATCATACACCATGACCAAGTGGGATTTATTCTGGGGATGCAAGGCTGGTACAAAATTAGCAAATCAATAAATGTGATACATCACGTAAACAAATTGAAAGGCAAAAATCACACAATTATGTCAATAGATGCAAAAAAAGCATTTGACAAAATCCAACACCTGTTTTTGATAAAATTCCCAACAAAGTGGGAATAGAAGATCATATCTCAACATAATAAAAGCCATATATGGCAAACCTACAGCCATCATCATACTCAATGGGCAAAAACCATTTCTCCTAAGAACAGGAACAAGATAGGGATGTCCACTTTCACCACTCTATTCAACATAGTAGTGGAAATATTAGCCATAATGATCAGACTGGAAGAAGAAATAAAAAGCATCCAAATTGGAAAGGAGGAAGTAAAACTCTCATTATTTTTAGAGGACATGATATTGAACATAGAGAACCCTAAAGACCACTACAAATTGCTAGATTTAATAAATGAATGTGGCAATATAGCAGGATACAAAATCAACACCCAGAAATTGATGGCATTTTTATACACCAATAATGAATTCTCAGAAAGAGAAACTAAGCAAATAATCTTTACCATTGCAACAAAAGAATTAAGATACTTAGGAATAAACTTAACCGAGGAAGTAAAATACTTGTACTCTGAAAACTACAGGATTTTGAAAAAAGAGATAGAGGAAGATATAAACAAGTGGAAGAATATACTATGTTCATGGATTGGTAGAATCAACATTAAAATGTCCATACTGCCCTAACTGGTTTGGCTCAGTGGATAGAGCGTCGGCCTGCGGACTGGGGGGTCCCAGGTTTGATTCCGGTCAGGGGCATGTACCTTGGTTGTGGGCACATCCCCAGTGGGGGGTGTGCAGGAGGCAGCTGATCGATGTTTCTCTCTCATTGATGTTTCTAACTCTCTATCCCTCTCCCTTCCTCTCTGTAAAAAATCAATAAGATATATTTTTAAAAAAATGTGCATACTAACCAAGACAATCTACAGATTAAATGCAATCTTTATTAAAATACCAACAGCAGCCCTGGCCGGTTTGGCTCAGTGGATAGAGCATCGGCCTGTGGACTGAAAGGTCCCAGGTTCAATTCCGGTCAAGGGCATGTACCTTGGTTGTAGGCACATCCCTAGTAGAAGGTGTGCAGGAGGCAGCTGATCGATGTTTCTCTCTCATTGATGTTTCTAACTCTCTATCCCTCTCCCTTCCTCTCTGTAAAAAATCAATAAAATATATTTTAAAAAAAACCCAACAGCATATTTCACAGATCTAGAACAAATATTACAAAAATCTATATACAACAAAAAGGACCCCGAATAGCCACAGCAATTTTGAGAAAGAAGAAGAAAATTGGAGGGATCACAATACCAGATATCAAGTTATACCATAAAACCACTGTAATCAAAACAGCATGGTATTGGCACAAGACCAGGCATATAGATAAAAGGAATAGAACAGAGACCACAGAAATTGGCCCAAACCACTATGCTCAATTAATATTTGGCAAAGGAGGAAAGAACATACAATGGAGTTAAGAAAGTCTCTTCAATAAATGGTGTTGAGAACATTGAACAGATAGTACATGCCAAAAAAAAATCATCAAACTAGACCACCAACTTACACCATACATAAGAATAAACTCAAAATGGATAAAAGACTTAAATGTATGTCATCCTATATAATAAAAGAGAAACATGCAAATTAACCATCACTCCATCACTCCGCTACACCCACCAGCCAATCAGGAGCGAATATGCAAATTAACCCAACTAAGATGGCGGCGGCCAAGGAGCTGGAGTGAGCAGGAGGCTTGGGTTGCCCCCAGCAATGGAGGAAGCCAAGCTTCCCGCCTGCCCTGGCCCACCCTGGGCTCCGCTCAAAGTTACAACATTTCAATCATAGAAGATAAATAAATCCCAGATACCTCCTTCCAGCCGGGGAAAAAAAAAGACAGAAAAAAAGGAGAGGCTGGGAGCTTGGGTCACCGGGGGGTGTGACCAGCCCAAAAATGGCCATCAGCCCCTCACCCAAGCTGGCCAGGCACCCCAGTGGGACCCCCCCAGCCCTGAAGGGGCTGTGGGCAGCCTGAAAACGGCCCTCAGCCCCTCACCCAGGCTGGCCACACCCCCATGAGGTGAGGGTCCCCACTAGGGGGCTTGACAAGCCTGCAAACAGCCATCAGCCCCTCACCCAGGCTGGCCAGGCACCCCAGTGGGGACCCCCACCCTGAAGGGGGTGTGGCCAGCCTGAAAACGGCCCTCAGCCCCTCACCCAGGCTGGCCACACCCCCATGAGGTGAGGGTCCCCACTAGGGGGCTTGACAAGCCTGCAAACAGCCATCAGCCCCTCACCCAGGCTGGCCAGGCACCCCAGTGGGGACCCCCACCCTGAAGGGGGTGTGGCCAGCCTGAAAACGGCCCTCAGCCCCTCACCCAGGCTGGCCACACCCCCATGAGGTGAGGGTCCCCACTAGGGGGCTTGACAAGCCTGCAAACAGCCATCAGCCCCTCACCCAGGCTGGCCAGGCACCCCAGTGGGGACCCCCACCCTGAAGGGGGTGTGGCCAGCCTGAAGCCGGGGGGGGGGGCCCCCCCCCCCCCCGAGTGCACAATTTTTTGTGCCCCGGGCCTCTAGTGAAACCATAAAAACCCTAGAAGAAACCAAAGGAAGCAAAATCTCAGACTTCTCTCATAGCAATATGTTTATGGATACATCTCCTAGGGCAAAGGAAACTAAGGAGAAAATAAACAAATGGGACTACATCAAAATAAAAAGCTTCTGCACAGCAAAAGAAACCATCAACAAAATGAAACAGGAGCCCATTGTATTGGGAGAACATATTTGGCAATGATACATCAGGTAAAGGTTTAATATCCAAAATATCTAAGGAAACTCATACAACTTAACAAAAGGAAGGCAAACAATCAAATTAAAAAAAAATGGACAAAGTACCTAAATAGATAATTCTCCAAAGGGGACATACCAGAGAGATGCAAATTAAAATGACAATAAGGTATCACTTCACACCTTTCAGAATGGCTATCTTCAACAAATCAACAAAGAACAAATGTTGTCAAGGATATGGAGAAAGGGAACCCTAATACACTGATGATGAGAATGCAGACTGGTACAGCCATTATGGAAAACAATATGGAATTTCCTCAAAAATTAATATGAACCTGCAATTTGACCCAGTGATGCTACTTCTAGGAATGTATCCTAAGAAACCTGAAACACCAATCAGAAGGAATGTATGCACCCCTATGTTCATAGTACAATTTACAATAGCTAAGATCTGGAAACAGCCCAAGTGTCCACCAGTAGACGAATGGATAAAAAAGCTGTGGTACATTTACACCATGGAATACTATGCAACAGTAAAAAAGAAGGATCTCTTACCCTTTGAGACAGCACAGAGGAACCTGGAGAATATTATGCTAAACAAAATAAGCCAGTCAGAGAAAGACAAGTATCACATGATCTCACTCAGAGATTTGTAGAATCTAATTAACAAAATAAACTGATGAACAAAATAGATCCAGAGATATAGAAACATAAAACAGACTGAAATCTCAAAGGGAAGGCAGGGGAGGGTGGGTGGATGGGAAGAGATCAAAGAACTTGTATGTATATATGCATAACCCATGGACACAGACAATAGGGTAGTGAAGGCCTATGGCAGGTGGTGGGGGTGGGCTAGAAGGGGTCAAATGGGGGGAAAAGGGTACATATGTAATACTTTCAACAATAGGAGGACTCCACCAAGATGGCGGCATAGGTAAACACCGGAGACTGCTGCCGCAAACAACCACTTCAAAAATACAACTAAAAGACGGAACGGACATCACCCAGAACCACAGGAAGGCTGGCTGAGGAGAGACTCTTCAACTAGAAGGAAAAATAACAGCACACCGAGGCTCAGAGGAGGCGCAGTGTGGAAAAAACTCAGGTGCGGAGGTGCGCGCGCAAAGCGGGCTGGTGGCTGAGAGCGCGGTTGTCGTTTTCGGTCAGGGGGGAGTCTCAGACTCTGAGCTCCAGATACGGGCGAATCGCTGGGGACTCGGACCCAAACGGGAGAAGCGGGAGTGTCTGGCATCAGTTGGAAGGCAGCTTTCCCTCCGAGGTTTGCAGCGGTTCCGGGGGTTCTGAGAAGCAGAGCCTCTGGGAACAGGACTGAGGGCACCATAACGGCTCCCTCCGCCCGCCCTGTTGAGCCCGCCCCGCCCAAGCCCTGCGCAGAGCCATTTGCCGGATAGCCTCAGGCAAAGGCTAGATTAGCACCTCCCCAGAGGACAGAAGTTTTCCGCGGCAGACACAGCTGATTCACACAGCCAGTCGGCCTGGTGGTCAAATCCCTCTAGTATTAACTACAACAATCAAGGCTCAACTAGAACAAGACTGCGCACAAAGACCACTAGGGGGTGCACCAAGAAAGCATAAAAAATGCGGAGACAAAAAAACATGACAGAAATGGAGGATATAGAGCTAAAAATCGCAATTTTGAGGGCTTGCAAAAATGTGCTAGAAGCTGTCAATAAACTTGAGGAGAGAGTCACGAAAACTAATGAGACCCTCGATGCTATGATAAAGAACCAACTAGAAATTAAGCATACACGGACTGAAATAAAGAATATTATACAGACACCCAATAGCAGACCAGAGGAGCGCAAGAATCAAGCCAAAGATTTGAAATGCGAAGAAGCAAAAAACACCCAACCGGAAAAGCAAAATGAAAAAAGAATCCGAAAATACGAAGATAGTGTAAGGAGCCTCTGGGACAGCTTCAAGCGTACAAACATCAGAATAATTGGGGTGCCAGAAGATGAGAGACAGCAAGATATTGAAAACCTATTTGAAGAAATAATGGCAGAAAACTTCCCCCACCTGGTGAAAGAAATGGACTTACAGGTCCAAGAAGCGCAGAGAACCCCAAACAAAAGGAATCCAAAGAGGACCACACCAAGACACATCATAATTAAAATGCCAAGAGCAAAAGACAAAGAGAGAATCTTAAAAGCAGCAAGAGAAAGAGACTCAATTACCTACAAGGGAATACCCATACGACTGTCAGCTGATTTCTCAACAGAAACTTTGCAGGCCAGAAGGGAATGGCAAGAAATATTCAAAGTGCTGAATACCAAGAACCTACAACCAAGAATACTTTATCCAGCAAAGCTATCATTCAGAATTGAAGGTCAGATAAAGAGCTTCACAGATAAGGAAAAGCTAAAGGAGTTCATCACCACTAAACCAGTATTATACGAAATGCTGAAAGGTATCCTTTAAGAAGAGGAAGAAGAAAAAGGTAAAGATACAAATTGTGAACAACAAACATGCATCTATCAACAAGTGAATCTAAGAATCAAGTGAATAAATAATCTGATGTACAGAATGAACTGGTGATTATAATGAATCAGGGACATAGAAAGGGAATGGACTGACTATTCTTGGCGGGGAAAGGGGAATGGGAGATGCGGGAAGAAACTGGACAAAAATCGTGCACCTATGGATGAGGACAGTGGGTGGGGAGTGAGGGCGGAGGGTGGGGTGGGAACTGGGAGGAGGGGAGTTATGGGGGGGAAAAAAAGAGGAACAAATGTAATCTGAACAATAAAGATTTAATTAAAAAAAAAAGAAATGACAAAATTCTAGAAATGGAGATCAGTAATTGCTAGTCTAGGAATGATATAAAGAGGTGGATGTGACTATAAAAGGGCAATACAAGGGATCCTTGCATTGATGGAACTGTGTCCTGACCATATCAGTATCAATCTCCTGGTTGTGACATTGTATTATAGTTTTGCGAGATGTTAACATTGGGAGAAACTGGGTAAAGGATACAAAGGATTTATCTGTATTATTTTTACATTGCATGTCAATCATTTATCTCAAAATACAGTTTAAGTTTTTTTTTAAGTTTATATACCATATGATTCCATTTATATGACATTCTTAAAAAGATAAAACTGATACAGAACAGATCTGTGCTTGCCTGAGGTTACAGGTGGGGTAGCATGAGATAGTTTTTTGGCATGATGAAACTATTCTATACCCTATAGATTAGTTACACCGATTTATAAATGTGTTAAGATTTATTGGACTGGACAACAACAAAATCAATTTTAATGTACACTAAATAAAAAATAAACATTTTTATTGAATTTACTGGGGTGACATTGGTTAATAAAATTATAAAAAAAATACTTTCAACAATAAAGATTTAATTTAAACAATAGATTACTTAAGATTTAAAAATAATAAAATAATAACCTAAATGTAAATGGATCTAATGCTTCAATGAAAAGAGATAGGGTACCTGAATGAATAAGAAAACCAGAACCATATATATGCTGTCTACAAGATAGCCAGCTCAGAACAAAAGATTCACAAGGCTGAAATTGAAGGGTGGAAAAAATATTCCAACATGCAAATGTAAATGGAAAAAAATCTGCGGTAGCAATACTTATTTCATGACAAAATAGACTTCAAAACAAAGGCCATGATAAGAGGCAAAACGTTCACTACATAATACTAAAGGCATTGATCTAACAAGAGGATATAACCCTGATAAACATATGCACCAAATATAGGAACACATAACCATATTTTTAAAAACCTCTTAGGGGACTTTGAGAGACTGACAGCAATGTAGTCATAGTAGGGGACTTTACCACCTCACTGTCATCAATGGATAGATCATCCAGACAGTCAATAATGAAATACCAAACAATACACTAGATTGGATGGATTTAGTTGATATTTACAGAACTTTTAATCCCAAAGCAGCAGAACATACATTCTTCTCAAGTGCACATGGAACATTCTCAAAGATAGATCACATGTTAGGACACAAAATAAGTTTTAACAAATTTAGGAAGACTGAGATCATATCAAGCATCTTCTCGATCACAGTGGCATGAAACTAGAAATCAACCACAATAAAAATATTCAAAAAGATTGTGTAGCTACCTGTATATAAGGCTCCTCACACACCTGTTCCAACCCTTCATCAGGTCTGCCTTCTGCAGGGCAGTCCCCATGCCAGACCCAGAGGTGTGGAGCCGGGGCTGAACTGGGAGGGACGATCGCAGCTTGGGAGAAGTTGAAACCAGGAGCAGGGCCTCCAAGGCCTAGGGTCCTGGTCATTCTCATGGCCTCAACTAGGAGTTCGTGGTCTGTCAGTGTGGTTTTGTGTTTTCATAGCTGATCTGAGCTCTGGCTCCCCTGATTATGGAAAATACTTGATTTTATATTTAAAAAATAATTAAAATATTTTTATTGATTTCAGAGAGGGAGGAAGAGGGAGAGAGATAGAAACATTAATGATGAGCCCAGTTGGCATGGCTCAGTGGTTGAGCATGGACCTAAGAACCAGGAGGTTGAGGTTCAATTCCTGGTCAGGGCACATCCCCAGGTTGTGGGCTCGATCCCCAGTGTGGGCATGCAGGAGGCAGTCGGTCAATGATTCTCATCATTGATGTTTCTCTCTCTCTCTCTCTCTCTTTCTCTCTCTCTCCCTCTTCCTGCCTCTCTGAAATCAATAAAAAAATATTTTTAAAAAAGAAACATCAATGATGAGAGAGAATCCTGCAGCCCTTCACCTGTCCTCCCAGCCCCCCTCCCCACCCCCCAGGTCTTCACCACCCAAGAGAAGTTTCTGTTCATTTTTTAAATTGGGTTGTTTGTTTATTTGGTGTTGAGTTGTATGAGTTCTTTATATATATACTAGAGGCCCAGTGCACAAAATTCGTGCACTCGGGGGACACACACAGGGGAACCGGATCACGGAGCACTTCACGCCCAGTGGGCAGTCACACTGGCGTTTCCAAAGGTGAGGGGTTGGGGGCAGGGCAGTCAGAAGCAGGGATCCCCTTCACCCAGCTCCCTGGTCCCCACGTGGCCCAGGGCCTCCAGCCCTAGGTGTCTGCAGAGGCCAGCCACATGGGGAGCCACAAGGGGAGCCACAGGGGGAGCCACAAAGGGGAGCCACAAGGGCGCTCTCTGTCCACCTGCTGGGAAGGTCCTGCCACTCGAGACCAGGAAGACAAATCAATAGGACATCAAGTGTTGCTA